CACAAGTCCTGTGCGGAGCGGCTGAGGGCCCTGGGGGTGTTCAGCCTGGAGAAGAGGAGGCTGAGGGGAGACCTTCTCGCTCTCTACAGCTCCCTGAGAGGAGGGGGCAGCGAGGGGGGGTCGGTCTCTGCTCCCAAGGAACAGGCAATGGGACAAGAGGAAACAGCCTCAAGCTGAGCCAGGGGAGGTTTAAGATGGAGAACAGGGAAAATTCCTTCACCAAATGAGTTGTCAAGCAGTGGAAGAGGCTGCCCAGGGCAGTGGTGGAGTCGCCATCCCTGGAGGGATTTACCAGAGGGGCAGATGTGGTGCTGAGGGACATGGGTTAGTGGTGGGTTTGGCAGTGTCAGGTTGATGGTTGGACTCTCTGATCTTAAAGGTCCTGTCCAACCCAGACAATTCCCTGATTCTCCTGAGAGAGCAGGGCTGGTGCAGCACGTTCCTGGGCTGTGCCGTGGGTGCCGGAGGCTCGGTGCTGCTGGAGGGGAGATGCTCTGTTAGCATGGCTGGGTCCGTGCTTCCCTAAGGGCGCCTGGGGAGAGTTCCCGGCCCTGAGGCTTTAGGGGGGGGAAACACCTCCTTAGTGGCCTCCCCAAGGGATGGAGTGAGGCAGCTGAAGGAGGGTGGTGCCTCAGTTTCCCCGGGTGTGTGTGTGCAGGCTGCTGGCGAGTCAGCTGCGGGAGGAGAAGCAGCAGCATGAGGAGGAGATAGAAGGGCTGCACCTCGACATCTGCTCGCTCAAGCAGCTGAGCCAGCAGCAGGCAGCCCTCATCCAGGACCTGCAGCGGCACCAGGGGCAGGAGGGGCTGCAGCACCATGTCCTGCGGCTCAAGCAGGAAAACTTGGTAAGGGGTGGGGGAAACATGGGCAGGACCGGGCTTGGGGCTGGTTTCCACCCCCTTTCCCTGTGGTGCGCTGCAGCAACCCATTAGGGACCAATGTGGAGGACCCTGCTGCACCCCCCCAGCTCTGCTCTCCTCAGTGGGTGCTGGTGGGGGTGTCCAGCTGAGGGAGGCTGGCTGAGCCCTACCGGGGCTGTTCCTGACCAGGAGCTGACCCAGAAGCTGGACAAGCAGGAGAGGACCACATTGAAGCTCCAGAAGCAGCTGAGAGCCTATGCGAAGCAGATCCAGGAGCTCACAGGCAAGTGCCTGCGTGCGAGGGACATTTGGGGCTGGCCGGAGGGTCACCAGCCTGGTTTGGGGCTGGCCGGAGGGTCACCAGCCTCAACGTGGGGAGCAGAATTCCACACCCCCACTCAACAGAGATTTTGGGGAGCATCTCTTTGGACTGAGCTGAGGGGAACCTGATCTGGATCCCACAGTCCAGGACACAGCAGGGTGTGACCTGCACTCCTCTCCCTCAGTGAAGAGAGAGGCTACTGGGCCAGTGCAGGAGTTGGCAGCATCTGCAGCAGTCCCATCCTGTTCCCACGTGGTCCCGTCCCTGGCTGGGCCGTCCCAGGCCATGCTAGCATGGAGGATGGAGGATGAAGGACGCATTATCAAGGCCATCATTACAGGTAGGGTCTGGAGAGATGGGGACTCCTCACCCCAGCTTGGTCCCTGTTAGGGTTTCTTGCCAACCTCTGTGTGAGCTCATCCTTTCAGCATCACTAGGGCAGCATCCTGCCTGACTCAGGACTGGCTTTCCATAGCTGCCTGGATCCCAACTGTCCTCCTTTCTCCTGCAGACTACAAACCACAGAGCAGCCCTGGGGCACTCCCAGACCTACCAGCCTACGTCCTCTTCCTGTGCTTCCGGCATGCGGACCACTGCCGTGATGAGCCGCGGGCCCACTCGCTCCTGGATGCGGCCATCAATGCCATCAAAAGGGTCATGAAGGTGCTAGGCTTGGGGATGTGGGTTGGGCTGAGGAGCAGGAGGTTCACCAGCCAAGGTGGGGGTGGCAGTGGGGCAGCAGCCCAGCCCTCAGGGCACGGCGTGTGCCTGGCTGCAGTGTCCAGCCTGAGCATCTCCTGGGGTGAGGGGTGCCCCCGGCTCCTGCGAGAGGGTCCAGCAGCTCTGTGCACCCGGACTGCAGCCAGCTCTGCATGGCTTTTGCAGCTACCGTGCAGTGTGAGGGCTTGCTGTGGTCACTGCCAGAGCCCTGCTGACCCCACTGTTCTCCATTCCCTCCTGCAGAAGCACAGTGATGACTTTGACGTGGTGGCGCTCTGGCTTGCCAATACCTGCCGGCTCCTGAACTGCCTGCGCCAGTACAGCCAGGATGAGGTAGGGCTGGGCTGTAGGGGGTCTGCCACCTCCCTGGGAGTCACAGAATCACAGAATGGTTTGACACTGGCTCACCCAGTGCCACCCCTTGCCCTGGGCAGGGACACCCCCCACCAGCCCAGGTTGCTCCAAGCCCCGTCCAACCTGGCCTTGAACACCTCCAGGGATGGGGCAGCCACAGCTTCTCGGGGCAACCTGCGCAAGGGGCTCATCACCCACACAGCCAAGAATTTCTTCCTCAGATCTCATCTAAATTTCCCCTCTTTCAGTTTAAAACCATCTCCCTTTGTCTTATGGCTCCCCTCCCTGATCAGGAGTCCCTCCCCAGCTCTCCTGGAGCCCCTTTAGGCACTGGAAGGGGCTCCAAGGTCTCCCTGGAGCCTTCTCTTCTCCAGGCTGAACACCCCCAACTCTCTCAGCCTGTCTTCACAGCAGACGTCCAGCCCTTGGAGCATCTTTGTGGCCTCCTCTGGCCCTGCTCCAACAGCTCCATGTCTTCCCTACCTTGGGGGCAAGGGAAGGGTGGGAGCTTAGCAGGGACAGGGTTTGTCCTCATCTGGGGCTCCTCTTTGCCCCTAACTCAGGCAGGCAGGGTTGTGCTGGGCTGACACTGCTCTATGCTTGCTTGGGGCCCCAGCTGTGTCCCCTGGTACTACTGGCTCTGACCCAGCCTGTGCCTGCAGAGCTACTGTCAGGGGAACACGGCACGGCAGAACAAGCATCGCCTGCAGAACGTGGACCCCCAGAGCTCCTGCCGCAGCCTGGGTGCCCTGGCTGTCCAGCTTTACCAGCAGCTCATCCGCACCGCCGAGAAGCATCTCAAACCCATGATTGGTATGGTCTGGGCTTGGGGGACTCGCCAGGCACTCCCTGGGTACTCGTCCAGGGAGGGAGTGCTGTGGGAATTCTGTTACAGATGCCGTACCCAGAGGTGGAAGGCAGGCTCGGAACGGAGGGTCCACTTCTATGAGGGACCATCTGCTCCTTGACCATCCTGGCTTGGATGGGGAGCTAAAGTGGGCTCAGCACCCTAGTGACCTTGGGCTGCATCCATGGGGAGCTCTGTTCCCCCATGCCCTTCTTTGCAGCCTCATGGAGCAGGGCTAGCCCCTGGGCTATGGAGATGTCCTTGGCCCCTGCATCCCCAACTGGGAGATGGAGCCAAGGAGCAGCGCTTGAGGCACAACACAGGGTCTCGCCTTGTTATGATGAGCCTTTTTCTACCCTTTAGTTGCCGCAATGTTGGAGAGTGAGCCCATACAGGGCTTGTCTTCTTCCTCCTGCCCTCCTGGCCACCGCCGGTCCTCGGCAGCCCCTGCCCACACCCTGCCAGAGCTGCTGCAGCAGCTGAGCTCCTTCCATGCAGTGCTGGACCACCATGGACTGGACCCCAGTGTGGGACACCAGGCCCTGCGCCAGCTCCTCTTCCTCATCAGCGGCACCACCCTCAACTACCTCCTGCTGAGGAAGGACACATGCTCCTGGAGCCGCGGCATCCAGCTCAGGTCGGTCCCCGTGCGGGATGGGTGTATCTGGGGGAGCTGGGGCATGGCCTGTGCCTCCCCCTGACCTGGTGTCCCTGGCAGGTACAACATCAGCCAGCTGGAGCAGTGGCTGCGGGCAGAGGGGCTGCAGCAGAGCGGGGCCCGTGAGATGCTGGAGCCCCTAGTCCAGGCTGCCCAGCTGCTGCAGGTGAAGAAGGTGACCGAGGAGGATGCTGGAGCTCTCTGCAGCCTGTGCACGGTGCTGTCACCCCCGCAGGTACTGGCAGGGGTTGGGGCTTGCTGCCTGCTGGGTGCTCGCGCTGTCCTGGGGGGACCAGGGATGCACTGGGCTGGGGACCACGCCATACCTAGAAGTGTCTGGATGTACCCTTCCCTCTTCATGGTCCCCACCATCTTCTCCAGGTTGTGAAGATCCTGCGGGCTTACACCCCGGCTGTCGGGCTGGAGGAGCGCGTCAGCCCCAGCTTCATCAGCAGAGTTGAGGTAAGCGGGACCTGGGGTCTGGTGCTGGGGGCTGGCTGTCCCACATGGGTCCCCCTCACTGGGACAGCTCTGGATGTGAGCACCGTGTCCCTACAGAGGCAGCTGCAGGCCCAGTATGGAGGGGAATCCAGCCAGCTCCTGGTGGACACCAGCCACCTCTTCCCTGTGCATCTGCCCTTCACCGCCTCCCCCCTGCACCTGGATGAGCTCCACATCCCTGATGCCCTCAACCTGACCTTCCTTGTGCAGCACTAAGCCCAGGTCTGGCCCCAGGCCACTGCTGGTGCACCATCAAGGGCTGTCTGAACCCCCATGAGGGGTTCATGTGTGTGGTTCTTCTGGGAAGGTGTTTGTTTACTGAAACTTGGGAGCCTTGTTTGTGGCACAGCTAGGGCCCGGGGTGGCCCTTTGCTGGGTGTTTTGGCCACTTTTTAATCTTTTGAAGTTAATAAATGTCTTTGCAGATAACTTCAGTGTCTGAGGCTGTCTGGGGTGGGTGTGCTGTCTGCAGGGTGGTGTGAGTGAGCTCAAGGACCATCACTGGGGCATTTCTGGGGCTGTTCATGAATTAAAGAATGGTTTGGATTGGAGAGGACTATTTAAAGGATACTTAGTTCCAACCCTCCGCAATGGGAAGCGACATCTCTCACCAGATAACGTTGTTCAAAGCCCTGTCCAACCTGACTTTGAATGCTTCTGATGATGGGGTTCCACAAATTCTCTGGGCAACCTGTTCCTCAACACCATTGTCAGACACTTCATCCTTAAGTCCAGACTAAATCTACTCACTTTCAGTTTGCTACAGAAGGGCAGGTGGGCCCTGGGGTGCTTGGGAGGGTAGTAGGGTCCTGCATGGACTCTGGAAGAGCACCAATTAGTAGTTCTATAGGCAATTAGGAGAAATCTGTAGCCCTGATCCTTATAGCAGACTTCAACTTCTCAGATGCTAGCTGGGAATACCATACTGCTCTCACAAGCAGATCTGAACAATTCCTGAGGCTTGTGGGAGATGAGAACTTCTTGTCAAAAGTACTCGGGCACCCAATGAGGAAAGATGCCCTCCCAGACGTGCTAGTTGTGAATGGAGAAGGGACTCATGGGAGATGGGATGGTCTTGGCCACAGTGATCGTGTAATGGTTGAGTTTAAAATTGTCAGTGTAATGAGTAAAAAAGACAGCAGAGTTGCTACCATGGAGTTCAAGAGAACAAACGTTGTGCTATTCAGGGAGGTACTTAGTAGAGTGTCCCAGCAATCTGCCGGTGAGGGCTCAGGAGGTGGCAAGTGCTGGTTGGGCTTTAAGAAGCACCTTTGGAGAAGCTCAGGAGCAGGCACTTCCCCTGAGTCAGAAGTCAAGCGAGTGGGCCAGCTGACCAGCTTGGCTGAACAGGGAACTCCTTGCAGAGGAGGGAAAG